TCATGTAAAAGCCCGTTCATATGGTGTTTCGCAAAGCAGTTTAATTATATTTTTGAATTTTTTAGTTTTAATTTTTTTATATTTTTAAGATTGTTTTAATATGTCAATATTAAAAACAATATTTTTTAATAAAAATATTTTAATTTTTTTTATCATATTCTTAAATAATCACTTGTACCTGAAGAAACATGCCACTTATACAGAGGTGAGGGCATAAATCATAAGACATCATCAACCTATCATAAGACAATTATGAGAATTTACAGCTACTTATAGCTGTTGGTGACTGTTCAAGTTGTAGGATTTAGACTGGGCCAGTGCGTGTTTAATTTTTTAAAATATGTTTTTATTTTAATTTATAACCAGGATAGTTGCCGACGATTATATAGCTGAACAGGCAGAAAAATCCCTCTCTTGCTAGAGGTCTTGTGTTAAAAAGAAAAAAATCAGGATTTTTTTAAATGGATTTACTAACTTTATATTTTGCCATTAATCTCATCATGAATCCTCGTTCCATAAATTTTATAGTCTTTACCTCCTCGTAGACAATCCCTTGCTTTATTTGATTAGGGATTAAAGTAAAAATTTCGACTCAATTTCGTAACAATTTTCTTGTTTACTTTTAAGTCAAAAGTTATTTCTACCCTTGACATTCTTGTGATTTTTCTTTGCAGAAGTAAAGATACGCACAGTCAGGTAACCATTGGTTAGCCCCAAGAAAGATGTTACCATTATCATCCAGCCCTGGTCTCCATACTTGGTAGTGAAGTAGAACGCTGGGAGGAGTAAGAAGCGAGAGAGAGTGGCTATCATCAGACCTTTCCGGGACTCCAACTTCAAGGATCTCAGGAGTGGAATGTATCTCCCAATTAGATCAGAAGCATTGAACAATGCTATCAACACGAGAACATACCTGAAATATCACAAGATTCAAAGATTCTGAACGCATAAACACGCACACGGCATACGTTGTTCCTTTTGGTTATTGAGGAGATGAAGGGATGGAGTGCACTTGATAGAACATATGGTGATGAGGTTTTTACTGCCAAGATACCAACTTAAACTGAGCCTTACCATCCACCCAGACTGTGGGTTCCGGTGTCTTCAGATACGAATCCAGGGAAAATAGACAGTGTCAGCACATAAATCAGAAACGTATCAATTGCATAATCAATGTTCCGCAGTAGTAGCTCCTTGTTGCTCAGCCGTTCGAGTTGTTCTGGATCATCCTCAGACTGTTAAAATATTGCAAGCCTTCAAGATTGGATAGTGGAAATACCATAAACATTCTGTTGCACATCCATACAAAGGGAACAAGGATAGATAAATAAAGGCGGCATACTTCTGGTTGTAGCAATGTTTCAATGCCACCAGCAGCAAGATCAGCTGAAACAGTTTTTGAACCTTCCGAGGCTACCTTAGAGCAGTAGTACTTCACGACGGCCAGTTTTGGGAAGACGTATGCGTACAGAAGAGCCCAAGGAAGCTCAAAAAATGCAGAGATGGCAAGAAATGAAACTGCAGAGAGAGGTGGAACACATGTGGCCATACAAATCGAATTGGCAGAAGACTGAAGAGTACACTATCTCTAAAACCAGCAATTATCAAGAATTACTAGGAACACATACATGTATGAAGAAAGTTTAGGGGTTCAGATTTGTGCTCAATTGCAAAGAGCTTTGAGAACATATTGTTCTTGGGATTGAATAAAATCCTAATGGCAAGCAAGAGAAATTAGCAAGCTCCTGAATTCGAAAAGAAGGTTCAAAAAACGAAATTTGGGTTCAAAAAGACAAACGCAATTGAGATGAAATTTCAGTTTTTTTATCATAAATCACTCAAATTGTATTTATATATGTAAAACGATTCTATGGTAACTTGGATCAGCCAGCAGATACTTGTAATGGATTGAAGTACTGTCAAACATCACACAAGCAAGAAATTCAACAGGGATCTCAATATCTAAGTACGAGAAACGTGTTGAGAGTAATATAAAGTTATTCTAAAACTCTCACACATAAGAAAAATTGCATCTCAATATTTTAGACTGTTTGAGAATTTGATAGTATAATTATTGTTATTTGTATATTTATAAATATATTAAAATAATATTTTTTAATTTTTTAAAATTATTTTTGATATATTGGGTATCCAATAAAAAAAATATAAATTTAAAATAAATAAATTTTTTTTAAATTTTTTGAAAAATAATTTTGAAATGCAAAAACAAATAATAAATTAAAATAATTATTTAATATGATATTAAAACTTTAAATCATAGTTAGGCGGGTTGACCTGGAACCTAGGGTTGGAACCGGGTCAGGTTAAAGAAAAAATAAAGAAAAAAAAGTTCGGTATGACCTTGTTGACCCGGCAAGGTCTGATTAAAAACTTGTTGATTTTTTTTTTACTAAAAAAATATCATTTTAATTTAAATTTTTTTTTACTTGAACGACTTGGTCAAAACTTAGAATTTAAACCTTGAACCAGGCCAACCACCGCACCGGGTTTGAAAACTATACTTTAAATGAACAAATAATTATAAATTTGAGCCTCACAATACTTCTTCTATATAATTAAATTATAAAAATTAATAAGATAGTGGTAAGTTTATGTAAAAGCTATATAAAAATATTTTTCATGCTTAACTTTTGAATTGAGATTAAAAAAAAAAAACGATTCATTTAAAAGAAAAGAAAATTGCATTGCTACTGGGTTTTGGTGGAAAACGAATAGCAGAGCTTCCAGAACTATCATCAGGAAACAATTTTCAAGTAAGAGAAATGGAGGTTCATTTTTCACCTGTTTTCTTCTAAATAAAATTATATGAAGCAAAATGAAAGGGGGATTGAACATACTGGCTCCCTTGGGAGGTCCATACTGTGAATTGTCGAATGCTGCTTTTGTAATTAATCTCAAAGCAGAGATTAGAGCTCCTGATGCTGATAAACCAGCGAGAAATGAATGCAGAAGTTTTATACAAGGAAAAGGGTCCACTAAATTGAACCAAACTCAAAATATTTGTGCAGCACAGAAGCACATGAGAAATGTAAAGTGACTGTACACACTGACCTGAACAAATTCTGGTCGCATGAAGGAGAGCTCACCAACCATTCCACCCTGTACATGAGCATCTGCGAGTCCAAATGCCCCGCTGAGTGCACAGATTCCAACAAAGGTTCCAAGTCCTCCTTTCCCCGATGTTGCTAAATCCAACTACAGAAGCATAACAAAAAGGATTGAAAGATTATTTATGTGCTTAGAATTAATGCAGTAAGCCAATGGGAAGCGGAAAATGCAGTTTTTGAATAAAAGGCACCCTCACAACTAGAACCAAGAGTGCTGAGGAAGAAAAGACTGTATCCAAATAAGTTACGGATACGAGTGTTGATTTTTGCCTCGTAGTATGCAAGAACTGCAAGTGTTCCAAGCGCAAATGGCTGATATACAAGTGTAAGGACCCTGGAAGGGTGGTATCTCTGCATAGCCAGCCAAGAACTATAGTCAAATATCATCTGTGCAATCTGACGCTGCAACAACAATAACAGGAGCCATGATAAGACACCCACAAACTATATTTCCATTTTTTAGAACTCCACGAGGCACCATTCTGAAAGGACCAAAACAGTTAACAAGATCAAATTCACAAAAGGGTTAAAAACTAGAATTCTAGCCACGCTTTATTTCTAGAATTTTATCATACCAATCTCTGAATTAAGGAATAATAAGGATTATAATAACTTAAATGGGTCCGCATCCGAAGCAAACTCAAAAGGAAGAGGAATCCTAGACAAATTGGAAGCACTAAAGGCTGAAAATATAAAATTAAATAGGAAAATAATAAAAAGGCAAAACAACATTTTCTAAGCCTAAGTTGAAGGCCTCCTTGACTTTGGGTGGTTATAGTTGGCAGATTCATGATATAATTGAGCTTGTAAATTTCTTTACACAATTTTAAAATTCATCAAATGATTTAATCTAAAGTTATACTTGTTTTTAATTAGATAAACTATTTAGCACGATCAAATATCTTTTGAGTTTATAAGCCTATTATAAATTACTTACCATCAATTTTCAATCATAAATGAGTTTCCATATGACAAGTTCTCTTTTCTAATAACAAGGAATACTATTTAAATAAAATTAAATAATCATTTAGTAAAAAAATTCTCACTAAAAAAATAAAATTTATCAAAATTAAAAATTCATATATGAAAAAATTATGAGCATAGTCTTCAATGTATTGTGTCCTATATATAAGTTTGAAGAAATTGCTTTGGAGTTTAGTTCCTCATAAGTAGGTGTGGAGAAAAAAAAATTAAATTAAAAAAATTATTTTAAAAAAATTAAAATAAAAAAAAAACTCGTAAAAACATTTTCTTGTAAGCCCGACTCTTTGTCTCCACCACTGGTCATGAGATAAGTTTTTAATAATACCCTTCTTTTTATGGGTGTATTGGTATTATGTTTTAAAAATATTTTAAAATATTTATTTTTTTATTTTAAATTAATATATTTTTGATATTTTAATATTATTTTAATATATTAATTTTAAAAATAATTTTTTAAAAATAAAAAAATATTATTAATATACTTTTTTGAAATATCATTTAAAAGTTGATTCAATTAATATTGAAATCGAAGCATCAACAGAAAGACAATAAAAAAAAA